GGCTTAGGATCTGCCCAACTGTAGCATGTAACAAAGTGAAAATGTTACCTTGGGTGGCAGTTTCCCTTCAGTTATGACCAAAGTATCTCCACTGCAGACATTAAGCTCCTTCAGTCTGGCACCCTGAGGGAGCAGAAAACAGTGTGTTTTGTTAAATGAATGAGTTTTTTCACTTGTAAAAAGCATTCTGGGTCTGCAGGCCTTAAAGCCACAGGGGCTTGTTTTTCCATACAAGAGCATTTTATGCAAAAATAAAACTTTACTCACTTTCTGTACTATTAGCCAGGATGGGTAAGGAATGGTGTCCCTAGCCTCTGTTTGTCAAAGGGTGGAGATGGATGGCAGGAGAGAGATCACTTGATCATTACCTGTTAGGTTCACTCCCTCTGGGGCACCTGGCATTGGCCACTATCGGTAGACAGGATACTGGGCTGGATGGACCTTTGGTCTGACCCAGTATGGCCGTACTTATGTTCTTAAACTTCATCTGGCTGCTGATTACTTGATGGAGATTCAACAACTGTTCAGTTGCACTAGATGGAGCAGGAATTTGGAGTATCGTGTTGTGCCACCACCTGACCAAATGTCGACACCAATGTACAAGTCTTCCCTTTATATGGGTCTGTGTTTAATAGGCGTCCTATTGCTATCTGGTTCCCATTTCCTCTGAAGCACACTAAGTTATCAATAAATAATAATACCTAGCACTTAATCAGTAGGTCTCAAAGCTCCTAACACACCAAATCCTAGGCTTCAGGAAACAATTTTATGGAAAATCTTTAACAATAGCCACAGCAAATCACTACAAGGCAAATACTTTGTGTGTTACATATTCTGTGTGTGTGTACATTCTCACTCTTGCCAAATCACCAACAACATAAAATAGGATGTGGCCTGCAATATACCACAGACCTAGGAGCCCTTAACATATTTGCTTTTTAATGTAAAACATAGGGTTCTCTTACTTCCTCGCTTAATGCTTCTCCAGCTTCATAGCACCAATCGATTCTTCTCAAATGCCAGTTGTCACCTGCAAAAAGCAGAACACTGAAAACAGTCAGCAAAATATCACTATTACAAAAGAATATGTAAACATACTCTTCCCAAGGGTAATTCATACATTTCTCAACTTTGACAAATGTTAGAGAATAAATGGATGCCAAATGTAAGAGAAGAATTAAAACTAGTTATAGATACCACACATGCTCAACTCCCTAAAACAATTTGTTGTTTTGCAACCACATTTTCCTATTTTATAAATGTTTCTCTCTCTCACTCTCTCTCTCTTCCCTTAACCCAGGGATGGCCAACCTGAGCCTGAGAATGAGCCAGAATTTACCAATGTACATTGCTAAAGAGCCACAGTATTATGGAATGATTATATACGTATGCGTGTGTGCGCACACACACAATCATTATACACACACCTCTACCTCGATATAACGCGACCCAATATAACACACATTTGGATATAACGCGGTAAAGCAGTGCTCCGGGGGGGGGGGAGGGTGGTGGACGGCGCAC